CATGATATATATAATATATACGATATATATGATATATGATATATATGGTATATATAATATAATATACATAAGATATCTAGTATATGTAATACATATGATGTATATTATATATATTATATATACTCGCTATTTAGTCAGCTTCATTCTGCTGATATTGTTATTTGCTCTTTGTGCTTGCAATCTTCGAAGAATAGTTAGAAGATTGCATAATGCTGACGACAGAAACAGGAAATTCAAGTACGAAGGTGAAATAATTAACAGTTAAGTGGAAAAATATTCCAACGTTAAACTGCTCCACGTAGTTGATCAGGTATGGCAATCTGCTTCGGCACTAAAAAAATTTTTTTTTTTATAATTTTTCAGTCAGAAATTTTTTTACAGACTCGTGTTGATTTCTGTTTCTGGAGCAAAGTTCAAATGGCAAGTTATTGAAGTATGTGCAGACTGTTTTGAACACACTTCACACTAATACTAATACTACTAATACTACTAGTGTAAAAGCCTTCTGTATCCTACTTGTGTTACATTAATTCTAGCGATGCTTGCTATTCTAGCAATCTCGCGTTAAACGTTTTTACTGCTTTGTAAGATTTCACAAATTGTCTTGGCACACAGTACCAATATCAAACTCTTGAGACTTGCCGTTTTTGTCTGTAGTTTTTCATAGCTGGCTGACAAGGAGCAAACGACTTACTTGCTTCTTGGCTTTTTTTGGTTTTCGCCAACAATGAAGAGCAGCTTGGGAATAGTATCTTCCAGTGGGTATAAACAAGCATTACAAGCTCAGTAAAGTCAGACTTGATCTTTGTTTTTTTCACGAAAGGCAGAAAGCAAACAATGTACAATGACATCTTGCTGCTGTGAAATTCACAGTGTGAATAATAGTAAAGAAGAAAATAAATAATGGTAATCAGTGACCCCTACACAGCGCGAACCACAAAGGAATTGTCTGTGTATTAATCGTATCAATATCAGCGGACAGTTAGTTATACAAATGCAATCAACCGGTCC